CCGGCTTGAGGCTTCACTAGATACTTGCAGGGTGAAATGTGACTAGGGGAGGGTGGAGGCCAGGTTTGGGACAGTAGAGCCCCCCACCAGAGAGGCGCAGGGGTGGGGGGACGGAAGGGCACGCAAGCTTGGGAGGAGGACGGGCGGGCTCGGCAATGCGCTGCCTTCCAGCACCACGGGAGAACGCACCTGCGGCACGGGCAAATAATCCTGAACTTGGGGCCCTTGCCCCTCTCCTGCTAAACCTACAAGGGCCTTGACTGCCTTTCAATACAGTCCCCGTCAGGCAGCTCATCTCAGATCACGGCCCCGGCCCCACGCTGTCCCGCTTCAGCTCCCGTGCCTACAAATTCCTGTGAACGTTCTTCCCTCTTCTCGAAAAGCCCTTCCCCCTTTGAGAGAGCGGTCTCGTCCTCACTCAGAAGGTCCTCTGCTCCAAAGCCCTCTTGGGCCCGTCTGGGGAGGTTAGGAGAACGCACAGCCCTCTGAAGACCTCTTTCTTGCTCAAGCTCTGACAGCTCAGTCAGTTATTTGACACCTGCCCGCCTCTCCCTGAAGATGCTGAGACACGCTTTCCGTGAAGACGGGGCCTGGGTTTTAGGGATTTTTGTATCCCTCGGTGCCCAGCGCACAGTAGGTCCTCACAGACACCTGCCCCAGGAAGAAAGCCGATCAGCGGAGTGGGTGGTCTCCCAGACCCTCTTACATCTTCCTCCCCTCCGGCCTCCCCTTCCTTCCTGTCCCTGCGGTTCAGTGGAGTACATCAAAGACTTCTCCATCCATACGCTTCTCCAACACGATCTCTCTTTGGAGGTCCAAAGACAAAATGATTTGGAGATACTGCAGGAGGGAAACGTTTGGGGCCACTTTTCTCCCAGCAGGGCTGTTTCAAGCAAACGTGTCCCCTAAGAGAAGAACCCGGATGGGAGACACAACCTCCGCGGGTGATACGGACGACACCCTGAGTGCAGCTCCAATAATGCCATCTGCCCCCACCCTTTGCCCATGTCCCTAGGAATTTCCGAGGTATTCTGACAGCCAGGGCTCGCTCTCTGGTTCTGTCTTTTCAGACTAGTGGCTCAGAAAGCAGTCCCTGGAGCGGGGGCACTGGCATCACTAGGCAGCGCGTTAGAAGTGCAAATTCTCAGGCCCTACACCAGACCTACTGAACCAGAAACTACAGGTGCAGGGCCCAGGAATCTGGGTTCTATTTAGCGAGCCTGCCTGGTGATCCTGATGCACATTCAAATTTGTGTGGCTGTGAGCATTTGAAATAGGGCTACAGGGACTTAAGAACTGAAGGTTTAAATTGATTTAGTTTAAGCTCAAAGTTAAACAGCCACACGTGGCTAGTGGGTACTATTCTAGAAGGTGACAAGACTGTATATATAGTCACATTCAACCTAGTGGCTAAAATCCCAGCAATAGAAATGTTGAAACTACGTTCTTGCAGACTCTGCCTTATTTCTTTTCTTTTTAATGTTTATTTATTCTTGAGAGAGAGAGACAGAATCGGAAGCAGGATCCAGGCTCCGAGCTGTCAGCACAGAGCCCGACGCGGGGCTCGAACTCACGAGCAGTGAGATGGTGACCTGATGAGCCCAAGTCAGACGCTTAACCCACTGAGCCACCCAGGTGCCCCGTGACTCTGTCTTATTTCTTTGACTACTTCCGGCTAAATTTACCGGCCCTTGCACATGGCTGAGGCCCAATAAATATTTGGCAGTTGACCCAGGGTTAACCTAGTTTTGTCTGTAAAATGGAAGCTACTGATTGATTGACTGATTCATTCATTCATTCATTCATTCATTCATTCATTCATTCGATGTAATCAAAGATTTGCTGTTGATGCCACGTTTGCTCTATCAAATTCATGTTTCAAAACTTTTCTGGAAGCAGTTGAAGGCATCACGCAAAGTGACCTTCTTTCCGTAAATCTGACAAGACGTTAGGTATACGACTGGACCTGTGGGCGAATCAGAATTCTGGGGGCAGTAACCCATGTTGTGGTTGTGTGCCCCACAATGCGTTTTCAGGATTTGAAGAAAAAGAACATAATACAAGGCACCTGCTAGAGGAACTTCTCCTTGTGGTGACACAAATCTGTTTCGGGCTGCACTGCTTTATGCCAGGGGTCCGTTCAGGCAGTGATGGGTCTCTTTGTGCGAGATAAGCATGCATTTTTGCCCTGCAACCTAAAACAAAGTATAGCCTGGCCTTTCGCTCTGTCTCACTAATGAATTTATATACGCGATTAAATGTGGATTACAGAAAGATGTGTTTTAAAAACGTTTTTTTAAAAACATTTATTTTAAATATGACTATTGGCAGTTCAGCTAAATCCATACTGTCCCTGAACAAATCCAGGCTCCTGGCCGAATGCGCACTCTAAGTGGGAAGACTGTTGCAAAGTGCTTTCTCTCTCTGGCCTCTGGGGATGCAACTCCAGAGAACACTGAGGCCCAAAGTCCTCTGAAGGAAACTGCCTGGGAGTACAACAAAAGCCGCTAGCAAGAATCTGGGTGACCAACAGACGACAGAAGCGACCAAGTTCTGCACTGCCGTGGACTGCCCTGCCCCCATCGACCTCCAGGGGTTATCTGTCCCTGTAGATAGTAATACTTAACCCTGACCGTGGCTCTGTCTGGGATTCCCCAGAGAGAAAAGGTAGTTTTGGGGGCCTTGTTCCTTTTTTTTTTTTTTTTTTAACTTATTTTAAGTTTATTTATTTATTTTGAGAGAGAGAGGTAAGGAAGGGCAGGGAGAGAGAGAGGGAGAGAGAGAATCCCAAGCAGACTCCACACTGTTAGCACAGAGCCCGACACGGGGCTCGAACTCATGAACTGTGAGATCATGACCTGAGCTGAAATCAAGAGTCGGACGCTCAACCGACTGAGCCACCCAGGTGCCCCCTGGGGGCCCTGTTCCTTTAGGCTGGGTGTGAGGAACCCATGTAAGGTCCTGGCACTCTGGAAGGGTGTGGGGCTGTCTCCTTCAGGCAGGCAGGTGACTTGGAGCACAGTGCTGCAGAGTGGGGGTCTCTTTCAAGGGCCCCAACTCAAATGTCTGGGCGATCACTAGAAAGGTTCGGAGGGGTACAGGAGGGGAGAGGAGAGTGGGGTGAGGGGAGATGGAAGGTTCCAGGCAGGGTCAAGACTGGGGCTCCAGGCAGAACTAGGAGGGGGACTCTGACCAGGAATTTGGTGGTAAGCAGGTGTGTTCTCTAAATATAAACTGCAAACAAGGGGGAAAATTCAGACACCATCTAGTCTGGAGATGTCAGACCCATGCTTCCCTCTCTCCCCACCTACGCTCAAGATGGCCATCCCTAACACCGGACCCAAGGCCAGGCGCTCTGTCCACCAAGCCCAGAGGCAAGCTCACTGTGGGCAGAACAACAGCCAGGTAACAATTACGAATTGCTCAGAGTTGCCAGACCAATAAAAATCTCATGATTTTTGAGATTATTTTCTTGATCTGCATGAATCCATCTACTGTACAAACGAGGAATACTTAGCAAGAACTCACTTAATCCTCACGACAGCTCCGTGAGAAGGGACCACGGGGGAGATTGAGGAGACGGTAGCATAAAGAAGTCTAGAACGTTCATGTCAAGTCTAGAACTAGCCAGCTGGGTAGTTCAGTCAGTTAAGCATCCAACTTCGGCTCAGGTCACGATCTCACGGTTTGTGGGTTCGAGCCCCACGTCGGGTTCTGTGCTGACAGCTCGGAGCCTGGAGCTTGCTTCCGATTCCGTGTCTCCCTCTCTCTCTATGTCCCTCCCCAGCTAGTACTGTCTCTCTCTCTCTCTCTCTCTCTCTCTCTCTCTCTCTCTCAAAAATAAACATTAAAAAAGTCTAGAATGTTCCAAAGGGCACCCCTGCTCTGGAGCACTCACTCCTCACCACTGTGCTGCCATCCCTCCCACACGGATGAGATTCCGGTCTGGGGTGTATCACTGAGCAAATGAGCAGGAACGTTCTAGAATATCTTATGTGTAGACGTGTGGAACGCCAACATTTACAGGATATTAAAACTGTGCTAAGAGACAATCACGCTAAAGGTGTAACCGCCTTTGTAAGCTTGCCAAGTCAGAGTGTATAGGGCTTTTATGAAAAGTTTCAGAAATGTGGCTTACAGGGCAAACGTTTATGGTCAACTGCCTTTTGATCTCTCATGTGAAAAATATGTACTTACGTCTCTTGCAGGAAACCTCACCACTTCCTTCCTAAGTGTTGGTCAGAAACACTAATTACCTGGCTAATTAGACTGTGAAACTTCCCTTCCAGATGGTAAAAAGGAGCTATTTTCACCCCACAAATTTCGTTGTGACATGCCACCAAAAAAAAAAAAAAAAAGTAGATGGATTTCAATGGTTTTATTGTAGACACTGCGAAGGACTTAAGCAAATCATATAAAAGTAAATGAGAAACTGATGAAAAGGGTCTGCTCCTTCACAAAGGGAAGGGGTGGGGTGGGGGGGGGTGGGGAATCACCTGGTTCTGTGGGGAAAAGCTCACGCCCGGGCAGGGAGCGTCTGGATGGGCGGGAGAGCCCGGAGACCGAGTCCTGGACACTGCTCCACGATGCGGGACGTCCCCCAGGACTGATCAGCCCTGATGGGGCTCGTGACTTTTAGGTGCCCGCTTTCCACTCCACCCGTTGTCATAGCACTGCTTGTTTTTGTGGGGTTTTTTTTTTTTTTTTTCCCCTAGGCATTCCCTGCCCGGCCCGGGAAAGCACACGTCCCCCTGGAAAGCCCGATGACACGGTCTCCCTTCCGCCCTGCGTTCACGCGACCGCAGGAATGAGTACGGGCTAGAGCGGACTCAGAGAGCGAGAGCTGCAGTTCCGGGAAGGACACGCCTCGGACCGGCAGGTGCCGAGGTCTGCGCACAAGAGCCACCCACCGAGGGCCGGGCCCTGGCGCCCCCCCCCCCCTGCCGTGGGCCCGTGGGCCGAAGCCGAGACCCCCGCAACCCGGCACGCGAGATACTCACCGGCGTCCAGGCTGCCGGTCGCTGCCGTCCAGCCCATGACAGGCGGGATGGCCCCGACGACGGCTCCGACCCACGTGTTGGCGATGCTGATCTTCTTCAGCGGGGTATAGCAACAGGTGTACAGGAAGATGTTGAAGACCCCCAGGGCTCCCGTGAGGGGGTTCACCCCCCAGGTCAGGAGGGCGACGCCTGGAAGGGCACAGCACGTGGCAAAGGACACAGCTAGCAACGGGCTGAAAAAGAGCAGCGGCACAGAGCAGTCACTTTCCAGTCCGGCGGGCCGCGCTGCCCGCACTCGGCGTGGACCACCCACCTACGTGGCGCGGCGACCCGGGAGGCAGGCTGCTGCGCCTTCTTCCGGTTACGGGCCACCGGAACCCGAAAGGCGGGAGTTCTGGCTGCCCCCTCTGACATTTGCCGGCCGGGGCTGGAGTTCGAGTCCAGGTGAGAGTGCCCTGGATTCGTTCTGCCCCTTCCCGGCCGTGGGAGGCGGGCGCGTCCCCCTGCTCACCTGCACGGCCGGGACGGGACGGTTCTCTGCTCTCGCTCACAGGCTGGAGTGAGGGCCGAGGCAGACACTGCCTGCTTGGCACAGGGTTCTGCTTTGCAGTTAGTGCCAAGTAGGTGACAGCCATAGAAAAACCACCCGGAACGCGGTACCGGTAATGTTTGGGCAAAAGCTGGCATCTCAACCCTGCCCGTGTATTTATAGTTTAAACACATTACCCCATTAGCAGTAATGGATAATGACAGTATGTCTGAATGTATCTATCTGTGATAAATTACAGGCTTGGCAAAGGACCGGCTTGGGGCCCACGGCCACACACCAGGGGGCTGCCCCACACGGATAGCTCAGTTTCGGTGCCACAGCTGGTTTCAGAGCCACGGCATCTCCGGAGGACCCTCACCATGTTGGCAGGTGCAGTGAACAGGGTCAAATACAACTCTCCACCAGCCGGGACAATCCTACGCCTGATTCTCATCAGAGCCCACTTCTTTTTTTTTTTTTTTTTAAAGTTTATTTATTTATTTTGAGAGAGACAGAGACAGCATGGGTTGGGGAGGGAAGGAGAGAGAAATCCCAAGCAGGCTCCGCGCTGTCAGCGCGGAGCCTGATGCAGGGGCTCAAAATCACGAACCGTGAGATCATGACCTGAGCCGAAGTCAGACACTTAACTGACTGAGCCACCCAGGTGCCCCATGCCAGAGCCCACTTTCTAAGGTGGACTTTACATGGGATCTTGTGAGAGAGACGGGGAGAGAGGGAGAGAGGGAGAGAGGGAGAGGGAGAGGGAGAGGGAGAGAGAGAGAGAGAGAGAGAGAGAGAGAGAGAGAGAGAATCTCAAGCAGACTCTCCACTGTGAGCCCGGAGCCTGATGCAGGGCTCGATCTCATGAACCATGAGACATGACCTGAGCCAAAATCAAGAGTCAGGCGCTTAACTGACTAAGCCACCCAGGCGCCCCTATATTTCAATGTATGTTAATAATTTCCCTGTGCTGTTCAGAATTCTTTTGTAACGTCATCATTAATAGGTACATAGTGGTCTATTCTGTGGATTCAACATAATTAATTCAGTCAATATAGCCTTTCTGGACATTTTGTATCTTTCCTTTTAAATTAGAAGGAACGGCATATATATCTTGCAGACAGACTGCTGTTCATAGTTCTGACTAGGATGCATCCTGAGGATAAATTCCCAGACCTGAGACTGCAAGGCCAGCTGACATGCACGTTTGTAGGGATTTGACTTGTACCACCAGTCTAAGCCCCAGAGGGTTTAGGCTCTTTTGCACTCCTATCAGCAGTACATGAGAAAGCCTATTATTTCTAGAACCTGTATCAACACTGGGTATGGCATTAAACACAAACCAAAAATTAACAACGTAAAAACATGTTTATTGAGATAGCATTATCCCCATTTCACAGAAGAGAAACTGAGGCTCAGATGGCCCTTGAACAATGAGAGGAACGGGGTGCCGACCGCGATGCACAGTTGAAACATCCACGTGTGACTTCTGACTCGCCCAAAACTTAACTACTGATACAACCACGAGAGATCCCTTTTTACCAAGATACGCAATTTACTGCAGAGACAAACTGCTTATGCAGAGATGATTAGCATCACACATGGCATTTTATTATTCCCTTTTAAATTCTTTTTTATGTTTATTTATTTATCTTTGGGAGAGAGAGAGAGAAGACAAAGCTTGAGCAGGGGAGGGGCAGACAGAGAGGGAAAGAGAATCCCAAGCAGGGGCTCGATCTCACGAACTCCAAGATCATGACCTGAGCTGAAATCAAGAGCAACCCATCGGATGCTCAACCCATTGAGCCACCCAGGCACCCACACGTGGCATTTTCTTTTCTTCACGCTTATTTTTTTTATTTTGAGAGAGAGAGTACAAGAGGAAAAAGGGCAGAGAGAGAGAGGGAGAGAGAGGGAGACACAGAATCGGGCTCTGCGCTGACAGCACAGACATGGAGGTCAAACTCAGGAACCGTGAGATCATGACCTGAGCCGAGACCAAGAGTCAGATGCTCAACCGACTGAGCCACCCCAGCGCCCCCGCATGGCATTTTAAATGGGTGCTCCCAAGACTCGAGCTCACAACAGCATCCAGAGGTGGTTGTGAAATTGTTACAGCAGCTGATTTTACTGAGTTACGATTTAATACTCCATCTCTAAATGTGTTCATCTTTCTCTCCACTCAAATGGCACCCTGTGCAGTCTGCAAATGTTTGGGCAAGTTTTGAATAAACTTTAACTTTATATAATAGATTTGTGTGTGTTTATGGTAGTATTACGCATCCACGACATACGTTTTTAATTTTTTTTGAAATTTCTAGGCCATGTGGTTTGTGAGTTTTTTCAAATTGTTGCCAACCTCCAACCTTTTTTCTAATATATTTATTGAGAAAAAAATCCACATATATGTGGACCCGCACAGTTCCAACCCGTGTCGATCAAGGGTCAGCTGTACCAGTAAAATAACTTGGAAACAGACTTGTACTCGGATTTACTCCTTGGCTCATTGATGCAATCCCACTGGTCTGTGGGGGCGCCCTGCTGTAGTATGACTTCCTGATTCTCTGATTGCTTGGATCTTGCCGAGCCTGGGGAGAGAGGGGGGGTGGGAGCTGGAGTCTTTAGGCTGTTGCCTTCAGCTGGGAGCAGCAGCCTGAAGGTTTAAAAGCTCCTTTGGTTTACCCCGAGGTAGAAATAGCCTAAGTTCCTCTGGCATTACCTGAGATGAAAACACTGGGGAAGCACTACATTTACATACATACATACAAGGTCGGACCTAGGATATAAGGTGGGGAGCAAGACAGACATGGTCCTTGTCCTGGGGGCGCTTATGCTGAAGTGAGAGTTAAAGAGGCTGGCAATCTGGAGCCACTGTGTGTGGGTGCTGGGGGGCTGGACAGGGGGAGGTTTGTAGGAAGAAGTGCTGGGCGGGCGGGAGAGGGGATAGAAGGGTAGACAGGAGTGATTCAGGCAGTGGGCACCGTACGAGGGGCGGGAGGGGTCAGAGAACACTGGGAGGGAAGGCCACACGGAGACATCGTGGGAACACTGCCTCTGGGCAGATGCACAGAAGAGGTTTTCTCTGCTTTTTTACACAGGGGAAGAAAACGATCAGATGTGCTTCTCACAAGGCCCTCACTGCCTGCCGTGATGACCAGCAAAGACAGACAGGTATTCACTTGTCCGTTCACGTCGGGCATTTTCGAGGAAAAAGCAGCGTGAGCCACACCACCACTGCAAGTTGGAAGAGCGCTAGCAAGAATAACGGTTCTGGGACGAAGGGAGCGTGTACCAAGTGACCTCCGGGCTCTTTTTTAAAGTTTGACGTAACCAGGAAATCTTTAAAAATCACGGTGATATTAAAGCTGCTTCAATTTAGCCGTTTTTAGGGGCGCCTGGGTGGCTCGGTCGGTTAAGCATCCGACTTCCGCTTAGGTCATGATCTCGCGATCTGTGGGTTCGAGCCCCACGTCGGGCTCTGTGCTGACAGCTGGGAGCCTGGAGTCTGCTTCGGATTCCGTGTCTCTCTCTCTGCCCCTCCCCCACTTGCTCTCTCTCTCTCTCTCTCTCTCAAAAATAAACATTAGAAACAAATTAAAAATTTAGCCGTTTTAATAAAGAGATCTATTTCTGATGCAGAAAAAGATTAGTCAAGTGCGTTCATTTCTCATCTCAGTTAAACACCACTATGATTTTCTGCCTTGGTACACATAGAAGTCCGAGCGAAATCTCAAAGCCTGGAAGGGCAATTTTGTCAAAGACCGACTTCTTGTTCTTTTAGGTCAATTGCTCGATACACTCGTCCTCCTAATCCTACCGCTCAGTCCTTGACCAAAACCCCCATCTGCTCTCTCCCATTCCTGGATGGGTTTTGGAAAGTATCCCAAACCTGGAGACACACACACACACACACACACACACACACAGAGTTATTTTCCCTTTTATCACGTCTTCTGTATTTAAAATTTCATTAAACATTTTTTCCCCATTATTAGTCTTTTTGTTCCTTTTACATCTGAATTCCTCAGCAGGTGGCTTCCATTTTGAGTGCCGCTCTGAGGCCTGATTTCTAGAGGCAGAACTAGAAGAAAGGGCTAAGCAGGTTCACTTGGGATTCCCTGGGCTGAACAGTACCTGATGGGTGAGGGCCAAGCTGGGACTCCCCGATGGAGTCCCGGGTGCTACCGAGATGTGGTCCCCGGACCCAGAGCGTCAGCATCACCTAGGGGCTCGTCGGGAATCCAGGCGATCGGCAGGCTTGCCGAAGTCGGGGACCCACCGCTGCGCCATCACCAACGTGGTGCGGGTCCCATCTGGCCTACGTGAGGCCACGCCGACGGAGCCTGTGCCTATAGAAGGCCTCCACCTCCACCCCACCTCTGATGCTGGGTGCAGCTGGGCTGAGTAGGTCCCGCTGTCTTTTGATATATGTCTCGACATATTCCAAGTGGAAAGGACTCGGGACAGCAGCCTAGCTCAGTATTCAGTTCACTGGGGAGCTGCCAGTGTCTCCAGCCACCTCTCTGCTCCGTCTACCTTGATTTGGTCTGGGCACGCTGCTAAGCGTTTCGGCCCTAACGAGGGTGAGATGAAGCAAGCGGGGCAGAGTCTTGATAATCCTGTGGATTCTGGGTGACAGGAACACTGGGGTTCACTATACCATTTCTAACTGTTGTGTCTCCTGGGACGTTTGCGTGCCAAAAG